AAATACAAAAAAAAAATTAAAGAAAGGCTTGTAAGCAACATAATTTATTTAATTGATATATTACTTATATTTATATAATTTAAATTATATATTTATTATATTTAATATCTATATAACAATAATAATTTTAAAAATAAAAGAAAACTTAAATACAAAACAAAAAAATTAAAGAAAGGCTTGTAAGCAAAATAAGTCATGTAAATAGTAATACTAACTCACATAATATATAACATTGATGACCTAAATTTATATATATTAATGTGGAATTTCTGTCTTGATATTATTAATATTTGAATGAATTTTATGAGATTTTACATGGTTTTCATTCTTTTGTGCAGAAAAATATTTGAATGCATAAAAATAGGAGTTTTGGGGATTAATTGAACATCTTTTGAAAGTTGAGAGACTGAATTGCAAGAAGAAGGGCTCCACTTTTAGACCTAAATGAATGAATCTTGAGTTTAGGGATCTAAGTACTCATCGTGCAAAAGTTGGAGGACCAGATTTGCTATTTTACCATTGAAGAAATTGCAAAAAGAGACTAGAAACCCGACAAGGGTGTAGTGTCGACACATAATTGGGGTATCGACACCATACGTTAAGCTTCCAGAATTAGGCTTTTTGTTTTCTGTTTTGTGTGAACACGTAATTCAAGTGTTAGCACCATGCGTTCGGCAACCAAAATTCAAGTTTCCTATTTTGTTTCAAGTTTCACTTCTATTCCAATTAGAGTTTTCAAAATCCTGTAAATACTCATCTAAATTCAAAATTAGAAAGAGCTTTGGGAGGCTGATAACAGTTCTCTTTTTGGGTTTTTTTTGAGATCAAAATAAAGAATTCATAACAGTAGAAGATCAAGAAGTTCAAATTTTTGAAATACTGATTTATTTTTTTTTAATTTAAAAAGATTATTTATTTACATTTCTTAATATATATAACAAATATTAGCATATGAATATTAATATTAAAAAATTATTTAATGTAATTTACAATAGTAGATTGTAGAATCCTTTGCAGATCAATCAACCAAAGTTTTTCTTTCTCCTTGTTAATGCCTTTCACACTAAGATTAAGAGGTATAATAACAGTGTTAAAATTTTCATGCCATAATGTTTCTTTTAGGATTCTGTCCTTGTTCTTCCCTCTTGTTTGTGAATTGGTATTCTTTCCATGGAAAAAGTTCATATATTAATTGAAGATTACAATGAAAGAGATACTAAGTTAATGTTTATTAAGTTAATATTTATTATTCTCTTCTTTCATCTTTTGAACTCAACTTATATTAGTGAAAGTGTTTGATAAAATTTAAAAAATATTATTTTTCTCACAAATTTAAAATTTTATTAGAAAGAAATACTTAATTTAACTTTTTAAGTTCATTTTAAACAAAATTTTAAAAAATTATACATCTAAAATTTTTTCAAAACTTAATTAATATTCACTTTAAAAAATAATTTTTAAATTTCCCTTAAACAAATTTTCAAACTTATAAATAGTACTTTAAAACAAATGTTTTTTAACCTTTGCTAAACACCTTTAGTATATTTGAGAAGGGCCTTTAAATTTTTTTTTTCATATGCTTGCATTAACGGGAGTAGTGGGGTGAGCACAGCAAACTTTTTTCATTGTGGCTTTCATATAATATTAGAAGAGACTAGTGGATCATTTTTAACCATAGAATAGGCATAATAACATAATTTTTTTATTTAACTAGGAATTGATTCTAAGAAAGCAAACTACGTCGTTTCAATAAATTTTTATTGAAAAAGACTAAACTACCTTATTTTTAAAGCATGCATTAAGGTAATTTTTATCTTTTTTCCTCTTAATTTTTTGGAGGTAAGGCGGACAAACACTAATCTCATTAGATATTTATTTTGAACAAAAATGTATGTAGGGAACACAATGAATTATCTTCATACAATTATCTATCTTAATAAGAGCAAACAAAAATTAAATCATACCGCTAACTCTTTGTTGTTGTCATAACAAAACTTTGCTCATCGTCAATTATTAGGATTTGATGTTCAAGTGTTGAAATTAAGAGATTCCCTACTAATAAGAACGAAAACTTTTCAATATATTTTTAATTAAGGATATAATATTTTTCTCTTTATTAATCAAAGCTAGCACTTTTAAAAATTTATAATTAAAGATATAACTTTTATGATTTGAATAAAAAAAATTAAGTGAATGTGCACAAGATTATATATGATTGATTGAAAAACTTTATGAAGATAGTAGTTTTGATTAGTAGGAAAAAATGACCATTTTTTAATAAAAAATTATAAAAAATTATATCATTATTTATACAAAATCTCTTAAAAGAAGGGTTCGAATTTGTACAATACCCTGCCACAAGCTGATTAAAAAATTGATGACTTGTTTTCCACAAATTTTGCATACCACTTGCAACTTCAGCACGCCTCTTTTCTGAATATTAACACACCATAAATAAACAAAAATAACTAAAAATGTTTCACAAAAGAGTTAGCTCAATGGAAAAAATAAAAATAAACCATAAAAAACCTAAGTCATGCTCTAGCTTGAAAGCACTCCTCCCCATTTGCCTGAACTTACTGCATAAAAAA